CTTTTTCTTTTTTTCCTCATAAACTCTGTCTGAGCGGTCGCCTCCATCTAGCTCTGCAAGATAACCACCAGAGCCTCGTGCTCCAGATGTGCAGGTGCGCTCTGGGAGGCGCCGCCGCCGCCACGACCGCCGAAGAGGGCTGGAGGAAAAGATACAACGCAATTTGGTCTTTCTAAAAAGTAGCTGTATATTGATTTTGATTCTTTTTGGCTGAAGCAAAGTGGTTTTGGAGAGGATGGAGAGGGGTGGGGGGGGCTGTCAGGGTGGAGGAATGGGGCGTGGAACAGGGGGGGGGGGCGGAGGCGTCTGGAAACAGGAGCCCGCAGGTGGATATCCAGCAGATCAGAGCGGGATGCTGAGGTTCAGAATCGTCTCCATGTGGTGATGAAGAGGTTGATGTCGGTCATGTGACTGAGCTTCTCTGTCTCCTTCAGGAACTCCTCCATCACCAAACTCTACATCTTCTCTCCTCTTTCCTTCCCCCCAGAGACTCCTTCATGCGTCTTTCTATTCGCATAAATATGCAGAAATTGGATTTGCATTTATGCAGCGATACAAACAGTGAAAATCTTTGACTCCAGCAAATGAAACCAGAACGTTTTTTCTGTTCTGGTAATAATTGCGAATCAGCACATATTTTAGAAGCCTTGCATGTGGAAACACGGAATTTGAGAAGCAGAAATTACTTTAATGTGAAGTAATGAAGTTTAAATATTGATTACTGTTCCGAAGGCTTCTGATAGTGAAAAATAAAATAAAATAATCTTCCATTTCCACCAAAAGGGGTCGAGAGAGGGACTGAATGGTGCAACGAGATCACCATGGCAACGAGAGCCTCGGCGGCGTGCGGAGGGAATGTGGGAGGAGCTTCATGCTGGAGGGGAAGGGAGATTCTCGTGGCCACACACACACACACACACACACACACACACACATTACGTCACAGATAACCACGGCTACACAACAGGGCGGCTCGGACGGCGAGGTCATCACTGACGTCACCGCACAGCGGCCAATAAATACAAATACTACAAATAGTTCACGTTCCCTGACGGCAGGGACACACGAAAACAGCCCAAACAGATAAACGTAAATAAGTTAAGCTCCTACAGATTGCACGTTTCAGAAGGAGGAACATCTACAGCTAAAGGACGACGTCACGGTTTCATCATTAGAACAGGAACACAGCTGTTTAGTTGTGACTCCGAACTACGTTCGATCAGCAAAGAATGATTCTTAATCCTTAATGTCGATACTTACAAAGGCGGAAAATAAAAAGTAACTCTTCAGGTGTGTGTGTGTGTGTGTGCGCGTGTGTCTTTGTGTGTGTGTTAAATGGGGCGTTATGTTGAAATAAAAATCGAGAAACGGAATGATGGAGAGGCATCACGTCACATGGTCCTGGAAGAGAGAGAGAGACAGAGAGAGAGTAGATATGAACCATACGAACCTGATTGATCATAAACTTGTACGTTCTTTAGGAAATCTCACTAACAGGTAAATCGTCCAATCACAGCTCAGTGGGGCGGGACTAAGTGGTGCATAATGTGCACAAAAAGTCTCAGTAAACAATCATTTGATTCTTTTGTTGTCACCAGACATCTGAAGATGCTGCCGGTCAGTAACCGGTTGTATTCATTGATAATAAATAATAATAATACGTTGTTACACGGTTGGTTTCGTTCCGCCTCCTGTGATAAACTCACCTGCTTCACTCCCAGAAGTAACGCAGGTACCAGATGGTCTCGTTCTTCAGCTGCGGGCCGAACAGAGGGTTGGCCTGCGCCAAGATGGCCACCAGCCAGCTGGGCAGAGAGGGGGGGGGAGGGGGGGGGGCGTTAGAAACACTTTACGGCACAGGACAACGATAGATCACCGTGGCAACCGCGAGAGACTCTCAGCTGTCGTCCTGGGAGCTTAATTCATCCTTAATCCGTTAATGACGCACGGCGGCCCGTTGCCTCGGTGAAGCTGTCCCCCCCCCCACACACACACGCACCTCCATGGCGAGGTTTATTTCTAAACAAATCACTCCTTCCGTTGTCAATAATCCCTCAAGTGACATTCTGCACCATGCGGTTTGTCAACATTGAGCATTTGTTCTTCATGCTTCTCTTTCTAGATCAAGTTTGAGTCCATGAAGGAGGAAGACTCCCATCTAGAGGGCCGATGAAGATGCTGCATCCTCATCACGTTTCTCTAAGCACTCAGTGCACACGAGCGTCTTCATGTGCATCTTATTCACAGGCGGTTTCAGGATAGTTGGTCTGACTTCAAGCTGCAGTAGATTCCCCGTGTTGTGCGATCAGGGTTCGTGTCAGATGTCTTTAAGCTTCTTGGTTTTGGAAAGTAGAAGCTCGGTGTTTGATCTCCTCATCACAACTATTTCTATGTGAAAGTGCCTCCTGTGGGGGTCTAACGCTGATCGAACATCAACAACATCATCGAAGCGCTGCCGTGTTCTCAGTGAATAAAATGCAGTTTACATTCTCCTCGATGTTTTGTGTGAGATCCACTTGTTTTTTTTGGTCAAAAGTTTCTATTAACCAGTAAAACCATTTACTCAGCATCTCATGTTTCATACTTCTGCTTTTAGCATTTTTCATTCGATCGAGTGAAGCGGAATGTGAAGCTGCATTCTGTGCGGTGACCAGCAGGGGGCGACTCCTCTGCCTCCATAGACGTCTATGAGGAAATGACTCTACTTCTCTGTAGTGACCAGCAGGGGGCGACTCCTCTGCCTCCATAGACGTCTATGAGGAAATGACTCTACTTCTCTGTAGTGACCAGCAGGGGGCGACTCCTCTGCTCCCATAGACGTCTATGAGGAAATGACTCTACTTCTCTGTAGTGACCAGCAGGGGCGACTCCTCTGCTCCATAGACGTCTATGAGGAAATGACTCTACTTCTCTGTAGTGACCAGCAGGGGGCGACTCCTCTGCTCCCATAGACGTCTATGAGGAAATGACTCTACTTCTCTGTAGTGACCAGCAGGGGGCGACTCCTCTGCTCCCATAGACGTCTATGAGGAAATGACTCTACTTCTCTGTAGTGACCAGCAGGGGGCGACTCCTCTGCTCCCATAGACGTCTATGAGGAAATGACTCTACTTCTCTGTAGTGACCAGCAGGGGGCGACTCCTCTGCTCCCATAGACGTCTATGAGGAAATGACTCTACTTCTCTCTGGATTTATTCCCTCAGTAAACATTGTAAACACGAGTTCATGGTCTCTAGTTTCAACACGTCTGTTGTTAATGAGGAAGATGTGTTTTTTTAAAGTTGAGCTTTGTTGAATGTGAACCTGAAGGCTCCTTGTTGTGCTGCATTGTGACGATCTGTAGTTTCAAGTCTTCTTCAATACAGCATGATGTTCATTTAGAGTCAAACAGACCATAAAGCAGAGGATGCTTTAGGGCGGGGCTTACTGTGATTGACAGGTTGACAACAAGCTGCTGCTTCGCCAAAAAACAATCACGCCGACGGGCCAGAAACTCGAGGTGGTTGGCCGGCGTTCGGGCCCGTCGCCGTTTTTTTGGCTTCCACGCCGTTGCCACGGTGACGCTTCCACTCTCTGCTGGCAGAAGCGCCACTAAAGCTCCATAACAGCCTGTGCGGCTGCAGCAACACACCACAGAAGAAGAGCTTGTACTTACAACAGGTAGCAGCAGACCGCGGTGAGGATGAGGCTGGTGACGATCACCCTGCCGGAGGAAGACGAAAAGAGGGGGGATTTATTTATATGACCTCATCTACATTGTGAATGTAAAGAGTGACCGTGTAACGCTTTATTGTTCCAGGTCGCTTCTTGGATGCGTCGTCCCAGAACGGATGACTCTCTGTGATCATTCTGATGAACGACCAACGGCATTAAACAAAGTCACACGCAGTAAAAACAAAGATAAGATAAAACGTATTTATCTATGAGTCTATTTAAAAGAACAGGTTAACGTTAAATGTCATATATAATTATACACACTCATACTCATTAATAGAGTGAAAATATGCATCCAAATGTCCCGGCCATGTTTCTTATTTCCCAATGAGAGATGAACCGGAGGAGGAATGTACCTGCTTAATGAACACATAGCCTCGTATCTGTTAACTTAAATGATGATGATGATGATGATGATGAAGGGGGGGGCGGGCGGCGTTGGGATGGACGCAACATGACGCGCACGGCCTCCATCACCGAAGCACCAACAGAGCAGCTCAGCGGAGCCGAGTGCGGAGGAAACGATCCTCAGCACTTTAGACCCCAAAAAACGCTTCACGAGACCAATGCGTGGAATGAGTGGAACGCGTGGAACGCGTGGAATGCGTGGAATGCGTGGAACGCGTGGAATGACACGGCCCCGGTGATCGCCGTTGCCCGCCGAGCACTCACCCCCGGTTGGGTCCTTTGGGCACCAGGAAGGGAGCCACGACGCCCACGAGCGCCCACAGGGCGGTGAAGCAGATCATCGGCAGCGCGAGCGAGTGTGAAACCATGACGGCGGCGCGCGAGGGACGAGGAGACGGAGCCGCGAGGAGGAAGGACGAGCCCGGTGTGTCCTCAAGGAGACGAAGCGCGTCAATGGCCGCGCAGCCCGCCCGTCGCCCCGCGCCGCGTCCCCGCCCACTTAACGGAGGAGAGGCGGGCGATTGGTCCAGACGCAGCAGCCCGCGGGCGCCCATTGGCTCAGCTGGCCGCCTGTCTGCATTACAGGAAGCGGGATTGGACGGATGTTTGTGTCAGCAGGTCGCAGCAAAGCGGATTTTTAAAAATAAGATTTTATTGATCCTGACAGAAATTGTTGTAAAGATTACAGAGAAATAGAAAATAAAATAAAATGAAAAAATACTTAAATGACATAATAACAAGAATAAAGTGTAAAAGAAATTATACTGACACCAGACCAAAATGGAATACAATAGCAATAGCAAAGAAAAGTTTTAACTATATAACTATTTCTACTAATCAAAAAATCTAATAAAACAAAGATAAAATGAGTAAACTTGAAAAAAATGATCACAAACACCAAAAAGTAAAATTGAAAAGTAATATCACGTAGTGATATAGTTGTATAACTCATTTTACCCTGCTGATCAAACCATAAACGAAGGTTTGATTGAAATTGTGCTGCAGCCTCAAATATAATATTTTCATTAATTACAAAAACGACCGTGTAAGTAGATGTTATAAACGGCATCAGTCCCGTTTGCAGTTATCAGCACAGATATTCCTCTCACAGCAACAAAACTAAAGTTATCACTTCAAATCATTAATCCCTTTTTCATATTCAACACTGACTTTTGGCTTTTCTTTATAGGCTTTAACATTCACGATAAACCTAATTTAACAGTTCACTTAACCCGGTTTTATTTTAGAGTCGACTGGTGTCAGGGATGCGAGGGGGAGGCAGGACTCAAACGCAGACCTCTCAGGAAAACAAGGCCAAAAAACACACAGGAACCAGGGGGAAGAACATCAGGCATGAAACTACAAACATCCAGGACGATGGACAATGACACAAGAGACACAAGAGACACACGGCTTAAATACACAAGGGAGGTGCAGGTGATTGGACACAGGTGGAAACTATTAGACGATCACAGGGGACGACGGGACAAGGCAGGAAGTGAAGTTACCCGGGGACACGAGTGGCAGAAAACTACAAAATAAGACAGGAAGTGAACCACACCGTGACAGACTGGTGCTGTGTCCCTCTTCTCTGTGCTCGTTGTACGTACACAACGTTAAAAAAACAACGACAAAAGAGGAGAATCTGCAGTTCTTTATCTGCATGTTTGTCTCATCCGCACCAACCAACTGTTCTACCCTGAGGACCAGGCCCCTCAAGAGGGTCAACCTGGGGGTGGACATTCTCCCACGTGGGACAGACTGGTGGATTTGTCCCTCGTGGGAAAATAGATTCTGAAACAGGTGTGAGACGATTAACATTTTGAAGGTTATCAATGAATCGTTGTAACGTTTCTATTGTATTTGTGTTGTGTCGTGTTCTTGCCTCTAGAGACATTTAACAACTGACCTGCTTCTTCGCTACTTACAATAAATGCAATATTAAATACATCATCTTAACGTTGTCTGAATTGTCCGTGTAATTGAATACTGATACTAGATTACATTGTTTTACCCAAATATGAAACCAGTGTCTCTGACCAGCAATGTGGCCCAGTGGAAAATGTGAAGTCCACCACTAAAGCCACTGGGTGGCGCTGCACTGCTGAGACGGCGAGCGGAGTGTGAGGACGAAAAAGTTCGTTCTCTCCACGTGACTGTCCTGTGGAGGTAGATGTCTTCTCCAGTAAGTAACTCTCATTCTGAATGCCACTTAACTATGAACGTCCAGGCTGGTGGAGCTGTGGGGGACGGCATCAGGACATTGTCCATCGAGTCTGACAGGCGGAGGCCATTCATGGAGTGGGGGGGGGGGGTTTGGCTTGTAGTCAGTGAGGTGTTTGAGGCCTCTGCAGACCGACGCGGCGTCACTTGCTGAGAACTGTTGTTGGAGAACGGAAGCACAGTGAGCGCCCTGGTAGGCTGGTGTCATTGGCCAATCACATCTCTGCGTCCGAGTCGCGTCGAGAGAGTGACACCTCCCCCCTGATGGCCCCCCGGGCCAAAGTAAAAGCCGCGTGTTAATGTAAATGTAATGTAAGTCACTTTGCATAATGTAACGTCTCTGCATTTGGCTGAAACAGGAAATCAGTTTTTGGGGAAGTTGTTCAGAAGAGGCGTTTCCACAGCAACGGGAGGCAGATGTCACAGAGTTCTCAGATAATTATAAATAGTTAAAACCACGAATGGCAGCTTCTGTGAAGTAAACCGCGTGATCAGCCGGGTGAACTTCCTGTTCCTGTCAATGCAGCCTGAGACCTTTAGTGAAGTGTTTTCGACCATAATTCATTATTA